GACATGACGATCATATTCCATCAACTTAAGAAATGTTAACGATAAACAACGTAAAGTAAACACACTTAAGAACAAAGTTCCATACTACCTCTGCCAAAAGGAGTCTACCTGCAATTTCTGCCCACAAAAAATATTGCGTAAGACTACAGTCCAAAACGCATAAGGATGAGTCAGGTTTACTTACCCAGCGAGGACCGCATAAAATAAGAGCAAAGCGCGAAAAAGAGAAGCGCAGGATCCGCCATTGACTTTGAGTGGAAAGAGCGGAAAGCATGAACCTCATAAGGGCCATTTATACCAGGAAAAGTAGCAGCTGCTGTATAAAGAGCACATTTTGTCTGAAATAGGACGCGACTTGAGGTGGATTTCCACTGTCGTGTAATTTTTACAATAAAATAGAGGTAATGTATGTATAGAAGTGAACGTTTCATTGACGTCCAACTTTTACGCTTTCGCGTGACTTTCGATAGTGGAACAGCGACAGTGGAAATCCACCTTTAGTAAAGACGCGTCTTAACTAAGTGAAAGTCACGTCTTATTTCAGACGAAATGTGCTGTTTATACGGGACAGTTTGTTTCATTCTTAGGACGCGCCTTATGTAACGTGTAAGACGCGTCTATTTCTTCCTGGTATAAATAGCTCCGGCACCGGTTGTTCAAACGTTGTATTGCGCTATCCACCAGATAAATCACTATCCAGCGGATAAGTATTACGGAAATCAATTACGCTATTCAGTGGATAGATTTTTATCCGGTGGATAACGCTATCCATAGACCACGAGTAGTCCCCCATTTTTCCTCAGGGATAGTAGAGCGATCGAAACGGGAGCCCGCGTGAAAATCATCCCACGCGAGAACAGGCGACACGCGGCGGGGAGAGAGAAAAATTTCTCTCTCCCCGCCGCGTGTCGCCTTTTCTCGCGTGATTTTCACGCGCGCTCGCGTTTCGCTCTCTCTACTATCCCTGAGGAAAAATGGGGGACTACTCGTAGTCTACGCTATCCAATGTTTGAACAACCGGGGCCTGTTCTGAAAAGCGCCTCAGCCTACGCGGTCCAAGAAACAGGAAGAAGCCTTATCCGGCTTTGCCCAAATTACGATGGTTGAAGTAAGCAATCATTTACGCTAGTCTGTTGGAGCCGTTCAGCTCCCCTCCCCTCCCCTTCCCCCTCAATGTTTTTGATATACCTGCGCTGTACTCACAACCTGAATGCCTGGAACAGGTTAGCAAATAGGAAATTACCTTTGTATTCATCGAATGATAGAAAACCATCTTTGTCGCCATCTACAAATTCAAGGAATTCCTACGATAAAATAACACATAACTTAATGCTTGTTGAACTTTGCGGCCTAAAAACGTACAATCGTGACCTAGAGCGTCAATGATAGCAACACGTTTTGTTTCCCTAACGACAAAAAAGAAGAAAACAAACTGTAAATCGCGGGAGGATCGCAGAGAAAGTACGAAATTTGTCAATAGAGAGAACAGTTCGCGACTCTCAGGGTTACATCAGTGGCAAAGTCAACAAGATCAGTTATTTATTATAAACAAGAAAACGCAAAAGTAACGAAATCTTACGCCAACTATAACAGTAAACATGTGTGGATTTTCCTCGGGGTGGAACATGGATATCAGCTCGTCACGCGACAGCCCCCCATCCTTGTCTACATCCGCTTGTCCAAATCGTCTTCTGTCCCGTTTACGTTGTTCCGCTGTAAAAGCTGTGGAAAAAAAAAACCAACCAACCAAACAAATGTGGCAACAAATCAGTTTGTTGAAAGTTGCGGGAACTATTTATGATTAGATAAAATTTCGTCTTGGGCCAGTAAAACGCGCAGATGTTTTTGCAAAAATTAGTCCTACTCTCTACTTCCAGCAACAACTTTCCGCAAACTGCAACAACCTGTTTTGTTGCAAGGTAGGTTTGATTCGTGGTTGGTAAAACGCGCAACATTGACTTTCAACTCATTTTTTAGCAAGTTGCTAAACCAGTTGCGCATTTTTGTTGCACGTTTTACCCTAGCTTAAGCATGTCGCATGTGCATTAAATGTTACTTTGTCATTTTTAAACGCACCCCAGTACAAGACTAACATTTAAGTGTTCAACAGGTATAATTGCAGCGATGCTGCAAAACAAGTTGCTTGTTATTGCTCGTTTTACTAAAAGCCGTGAACAACAAAGACTCCGCCCCTTTGAGTAGCGTTAGCCCGTAAAATCACAAAACATTTCGACAAAATGGTTACCTCCTTTTTTCTCAGCGCTTTCCGTATACTCATCCCAGCTAACTTTGCCATCGTTATTAGTGTCCAAAGATTTCAACCGAGTATTGGCCTCATCTTTGTAAAAAGCTTTCATACTTTTGTCTGTCCGTGCGGCAAGTTCTTCAACAGATACCTGACCATCACCATTTATGTCTATTAACGGAATAACTGACCTGCCAAAAAACGGTAGTAAAGAAATAACTGTTTCCTTTTTATAGGATTTTTCGTCAAAGCACTCTTCCTATAGACCTTTTCACGGTTTTTTTTTTCAAATTTTGACATGGACACGTTAGGGAAAATCTGTGACACCCTTAGTATTGTTTGGGGTCAGGGAAACGTGCCATTGGTGACTTCTCTTCCGAGCAGCTGCTACATGACCCGCAGACACCACTTAAAATAGCGCCTTAAGGGTTAAGATAGGTAAAATTGCCAAGTTCTAAAGTGATTTGTGGAAAACTAACGAAGATATAGCTCCTCAAAGTAGCGACATTTTACGGACGTTTGTACGGTGGAAGCGTGCACTTTAGGCCCTTAAGGAGGTCCCTAAGCGAAACGATGGGGATCCCTGACCCTCTATATGGGGGCTGTTCCCTTCGCGACGAACGAGTACAAACTCCTTGCACGCCAGTGGGTAAAACACAAGGGGGTAGATGGAACGCGAGAAATAAGTTCGCTTTTCCGAGAGAAGTCATATGTGCCCCAAAACTTGTGCTTTACAAATCAATTAAATAAATATAGGGGAACAAAGAGGCTGGTCTATGATCGTCTATGCAACATTTCCCTGGACCCCTCGTGTTTTCCTACCCTGGGTTCCAGAGGATACTTTTTTCTTATCGATACTGATCTGATCGTTCCGCGGCGAAGCCGCGTCAACGAGGCGCGAAGCGCCGCGAGAATAGAGAGGGAGCCTTATCAAACCGTAGCGGAAGCCTTATTAAACCATAAGCACGGTTTATTTCATATTAGGTATTTTGAGAACGGACCTCTGGAGCCAGGGTAGTGTTTTCCACGTCTGTCGCGGTTTGTAGGTTGTCACGCAAGGAGTTGGCATCCCATAAAAAACACAAAAATACCGCAGAGCATACCATGCATCCCGAGATGAGAATTATGGTCTTGTTCCTAGGGAGTGAGAGTGGAACGTCTTTGAAGTGAAATGCTACATTGTAAATCGGTCGTCTATGTGAACAACAGAATAATTGTTTTAGCCCAAGATTGATCTGCAACGGGTTGAACCATACTTCCGACACAACGTGTTTGGGATAATCTGGTATAATTTTGATATTGTTCCTCAACTCTACCCTCATTTCCCTATCAAAATATCACATATCACAAACCATTTTCCTGAATGTATATTCAAAAGATGAAACTTCGATTCTCTCACCTTAACCTTGATTCTTCTCTGTCTTTGTCAGTTTGAGTAAAATGGCTTCGGTGATTCGATGATTGTTCATGACCCTGAAAATGAGCTGAAATTCCTCGCCATGGAGCTAAGTAAAACGTGACAAGAAATACGAGGAACATGACCATGCTGCTTCAAAGTTAAGGCTTCAGTTTACCAACAGTGTTTGTGTAAGGATACTTTTATTGCGAGAGAAAAGTTTGCGCCGACAAAAATACATGTATCAAAACATCTTTGTCTACCAGGATTGTGCGACATACACGTGTTTCCGGTATCAGAAACGGAAGTCCTACGTCACAGACTGGTTAGAGAGAGGCGAGTGGGACCAACTCCCGTTCTGTGATGATGCCAAGCTCTGAAGATCGCGAAAAGGTGAAGAAAACAAATGGACTCATCATACGGGTGCTCTTAATTGAAGATCATACTGTCCTCTCCATCTTCAACACCCTCCTGCCGCCTCCTGTCAACGATGGTGGAAATACTGAACTTGATCTCTACCCGATCGTAAATAATACAACTTGATTACAGGTTATACTCCCATGCGCTCGACTGATTCCAAGCTGTCTTATCTACACATCCTGCTTGGCTTCATTTCGCCTTCAATCTCTCTCCGCATAGTCTCCTTCGCAGCCGCTCGGGACAGAGTCACGCAAGCTCCACGCCCTCGAGCTTGCGTGACTCCGCCAGAGCGGCGGCGAGTGAGACTACTCTTCGAGAAGCTTAAAATTGATCGAAGCGTAAGAGACTTCATTTCATTTGAAATCGTTACCTTTTCGCGCTGCTTTTAAATGAAACCCTTTCTTATTTTACAGTTGATTTAATTCAATTCATCATTGCTAATCCATAGATAAATCACAACAAAAAGTACCTTTTTTCCCAGGGTTTAGCAAGTACCTTGAAGGCTGCGTACCCTCACTTAGGGACGCACCATTAGAAAACTTATGGGGGGCGGGCGAAGTACAAAAAAAATTTTCGCGCTAGGGAAAATTAAATGAAAAAAAATTCATGCAAGCCAATTAATCCTAAAAAATATTCCTGCGGCTCAAAAATTCCCCTCCCCCACCATAACTTTTCTAATTTTCGCGTGCCTACGCACGTACATTTACGCGCGTAAATAAAACAGAGGCAGTGTATGGAAGGTAACGCGTAAACGTCAAAGTTGAACCTCGCTCAACTTTTACGTACCACGTACGGCTGCGCGAATGAGTACGCTCCTAGCCAGACCAAACCTGGGAGATTGCAGGAATGACTGTGTCCCCTGCGCGAAGCTTTGAAATGTTTTAGGTGAGACAAGACCTGATTACGCTGCCACAGGATGACAAAACGTTTCGAAGTTTCAGAACGAAGTGCCCAAAAATGGTTACACCTTAGGAGATATGTCACACAAAGTATCACTAACCGTAACATCTATGATTTTATTATAACTGAAAAGTCATCTTGGAACTCACTGTTAAAAAATGCCTCATATGCTTTACAGAATTTTAACCAACTACTGATAGTTCAACGAGGAGCGATCCTCGACCTTAAGCTTTTACTCCTTTCTCAGTCAAAGAAAAGCTCCGACCCTGACGGCGAAAAAACATGAGCGCACCGCGTACCGTAAGGAAACAAGTATTTTCCACCCAAGGCGCAACTGCACCAATGAAACAAAAATATTGAAAATGGTGAGGCTATCACTGTTTGATCACAATGTAAGTCTAGTATCATATTAAATATTGTGCAACTTAAGAAAATAAGGACTTTTTGTTATCTATAAGTCATTTATAAAACTCTTTGCTTCATAAATATTTTTGCTCTTAAAATAATTCAAATTAATACAACTCTTCTATCATAACATCTTGAACTGGAACAATTGCGTGTATATACTACCTATAACAAATAGAACTACCAAATAATTTTATGGGTAGCTTGTACCCAATCTTCTTGCGGCCCTTGCCGCCAAAACAACAGCACTCGCAAAAACAATAATTGCTCTCGCCCGCTAATCTCGCCTGCTACGCATCCAAATGTCTTCTATTGTACAGAAACAAGAGAGAATGAGGTACGACAGTACCCATCATCGTTATAATAAGTTTACGTCAACCTGACAATGAAATTCTTTTCTTTTTTCCAAGAGGAAAGAAACTGCAACGTATCAGAAACTGGATACGAGAATCGGTTGTTGTTGCTTTTTAATTTCCCGGGTGCTGTCATTGCGAATCATTACGTTTCTCGATTGCTACTTTTCAACAATCAAAATTCTTTGTCCAACAAAATATTAGCAAACCAAGGAAAAATTGTCAAGCGAAAACACGAAGAAATCACGTTGGGTGAAAACACTCTATCAATAAACCAATCACAAGATGATAACCCCCCGTATTTCTCGGTCAAAGGCCAATAAGATGTTTGATATCTCTCACTCTCTGTCTCCTTCTGTCTTCTTGGCTTTGCGTCTCCATGCCAAACGCCTGGCCCATCAGCTCACGTTTCTTTTCCTGCAAGCTAAGCATGCGCTCTTCCACGGAATTGGTCACAATATACTGCAAATGGAAAAGCAATTACTACACCACTGCCTAGTTTCAAATCGAGAGGGGCTGAGTACGCGTCGGATTATTATGGGATAAACAACACGAGACACACATAAACAAACAAGCTAAAGAGGTTTATTATCAACCATAGAAGTGAAGTCAAAATGTTCAAAACTTTGCAGTGAAACAGCAAGCCGCACTTGAGTTTTGAACACTTCGACGCCATCTTTAGGCTCGATAAATGTATTGACCATGGAAAATTGTTGTCGATTTGTTAAATCGGCCATTTTGACGTCTTAAAGAATTGGTCGATAGTTTCGAATTGCAGTATGGGACTATTTCGTGTGGCGGACTTTTTAACAAATCAGCAATAATTTTCCATGGTCAATACTCTTATCGACCATAGAAATGACGTCAAAATGTTCAAAACTCAAGTGGAACCACCATGGATCCATGGATCCATGGAACCACAAGCCGCAGGCGAGTGTTTTCACAGCAAAGTTTTGAACATTATGACGTCATTTCTATGGTCGCTAAGAGTATAGAACATGGCAAATTGTTGTCCATTTATTTTTCACAATAACATTTACAGTTTTCGACGACCATTCCTGTTGAAGTTTCCGGGAAAATCGCACGCGCAAGAAAGAGAAAACAAATGGATCAATTAACTGCCCACCTACCCCTCCCCTAAGTAATCATTAACACTTACTTCTCATTTAGGGCCACATGTTGGGTTAGGGGAGGGGTAGGTGGGGAGTTTCCCCACAAACCTAAATTGATCCAAACAAATTTCCATGGTCTTGTGCTCTTATTAAACATAGCTCTCGACCAATCAGCGCGAGAAATCGCTCAGTTCTTGTAAAATCCTTTATTGACTGTTACAAAGTCGCGCAGGAAACCTCGTCAACTGATTCTTCCCCTAAACAGTCCCAAAGTGCAATTCGTCAATACACCCACCCTTTCGCTTAAGTCCCCTGAAAATGACCAATTTAAAGTGAGTGTCCAAAATTCTTTGAAAGTAGAAGCGTTCAATTGCTATTTTGACTAATTTTCCGTATCTATTTGCCATAGTATATGAACATAAGAACATAAAATCGGTCCAATATTCTAACCTTAGTAATGATCACTTCTTGTGTTTGACCAAGGCGATGGCTGCGATCGAAACATTGTTCCTCGACAGCTGGGTTCCAGGCCTACGATAGATAAATTAAACATCGTCACAAACTTTGGCCCTACGCTGTAGAAGAAACAGCCTACTGTCTATGACTACTGACGACCTCGTAAGGCGCTACAGAAAGGTAAACGCGACTAGTCTCCAAGCTACAGTTGAACTATACAAGGCAGTTCCTAAGAGACCCCTAAAATAAAAGCTTGCGAGAAGTAATTCTCCATGGTCTAAACAAGGTTGTTTAAGCATAAAACGTGGTCCTATAGCGTAATAATCAGCTTAAAGCTATTGAAAAATATTTTCCTGTGGTAATGTTTACTACGTTGTACACTTTTGAGTCTATGTACGAAATCCTTAGGTGTGACCATACAAACGAAGGCTACTGAGCTACCCGGCCCTGAGGTACTGTTTATTATACTGTACAAGGCGGTTCTAACTTTTGAGTCTGTGAATGAAAGCCTAGAGTGTTGGCATTTTAAATGAAGGCTACTGAGTAGTAGTATTTTCCTGTAGTATTGTTTGGTGTGCTATACAGGTTAATTCTAACTTCTGAAGACCGTAGAGGTAATCCTATAATGGGTTTTAACCCACCACTAAAACCTTCTATGCAGTAATTTCGGGCTTTTGGTCTGTATTCAAAAGGAATGTACTTCTTAATTTTGAATTTACAAGTTGTAAGGCTTGGGCTACGTTCTATAAGCCAGAAAGCAAAACAAGCACACTTCAAATACAATATTCCTCGTTCTAGAAAGAGAGACTAAGTAACCGGGGCGAAACGACCTGGGGGCGAAATGACCGGTAACCCTATGTTCACACGGCACCGGACGAATTTTCGACCGGCTGAAAAAATTGCCCGCAAACGTGGTTCACACTGGACGGTCAATATTTTCGCTCTGTTCACATAGAACTTTGAACGGCTAGGCGTCTAAATTCTCGCACGTTTAAGGTGGTTGGATGTGAACGGAGCACCAAAACACACGAATTTTCAACCGATCCGCGAAACTTCGTCCGGTGCGGTGTGAATGTGGCCTCAAGAAACCAACCGGATCTAACAGAAATACACGGGTAGCAGCTGTTAGATTCAATCCCACTCCTCCAGCGGTCAGCGACAACAGAAACACTGTAGGTGAACTGGAACTCGGATCCGAAAATGTTTCTATAGCGCGAGCCCTGGCTTCTTGAGTCATTCGTCCATCCAGCCTGACAAACAAGAAATCTTGCTCCTTCAACGCGTCCTCTACTATATCCAAGAATGAGGTGAATTGCGACACCACAAGACTCTTTCGAGAGGGGTCTTTGTCTCGTATGGCACACAACGCCTTCATCAAAGTTTCGAGCTGAAAAAAAAAAAGGGATGTAAAATCTGTATAAGAAGCTCTCTTAAAGTCAACTCGACTTGCGCGCTAAAGGAGGCGAGTCAGTAACCTACTGCATGGAGATCTTTGATTTAGGGAATGAACAAACATCGACAACATGCACTTGTTTCTTAAGCTGGTCGTATCACGTCGTCTAGAAGACGCTTGAACTAGGAGAGTGAGGTGCCTTCTGATCCAAAACGCTACACACCCTACCGCGGGCTACATAAACTCGCTTGTTGATTGGTTCGAATTAAGGTGCTTTTGGTGCACATACCCCAAAGAAAAAAAAACAAAATAAGGTAGAATTCCAATCATTAAAAGCACGTTATCATTGGTCACACAAAGAATAATCCCTGCGTCACGCGTTGCGTAATAGAGACAATACACTCGATCCACGCCACAAATAGTAGAGCGCGCAGGTCAAGATATATTTATAATTTTACTACAGAAATAGTAAAGCTTTAATGCTTGTGTATTGTTGAACAATTAAGGACTTGGCAATAAATTTGATATTTATTTATGTCAAACCTTGGAGCTCGTCTTGGACTGTCCAGATTCCTCGCTGGGTTTTTCCGTTTCTGTGGACTTCTTTTTCTTCTTCTCCGGAACTTTGATCAGATCATTTTCATTCACGGGCGCACGACAAAGGGGACAATTGGGCGCAGAAGTCTCTGACGTAATAACATCCATAATGCATTGCTGACAGAACACATGCGCACAACGCGTAATGACTGGTTCGACTAAGGAGTCGAGGCACACCGAACATTCTTCGTCCACTCCCGACGATAAGGTCACAAGGAGATCGTTGACAAGTCGCTGAGTGTCGTGATCTGCATCAAGGTCGTCATCGTCGGAGTCATCCAGACCTGGAAAGACAATAAACAATTGAGTTTCAGTACAATTCGTGGTATATAGGCGAATATTTGCGGACGTCATTGTTGACATTTTCCCTCACTGGCATACGACTTAACTCGTAAAAGCTGTGGCCATATACGAACTAAATTGAAAAGTTAAAAGAGTCGATTAACTTGGGCATTTTATAATATTTTCAGCTCTTTACAAGCAAAGGAAATTTCAGCCATCGAAAACTGCGAAATTGCTTAGTGACAAAAAAGTTAATAAGCCATACATTCTTCGTAAAATATGGAGTTTTTAAAAGAGAATTTCTTCGACACCACTTGGTATATCGAACTTAAATTTTTAGGGATACCTGTAATTGTTACGCTCTTTCAATATGCAGAGATTTTACTTCATTACCTTCTTCAGATAATGATAAGCAAATGTTATTGAAGTAGAAAAGTGTAAACAAAGATTCGGCTACAGCTCTGACTCAAAACGAGAGCCGGACAATTTTTGCCGTTGTAAAAATAAAGATCCTTAATATAATGATCCATAGCGGGAAAACCTGCCAAGCTATTTGTTCAATGTTGCACTTGTTTGTTTTCCTGCCATGAAATACAGTAACAGTTACCTTGCAGCAGATTTTGTGCATGTTGAAGCGACTCGCTGTCTTTAGCACACAAGCTGGGATGTAAACAAAGCTGCCTGAGCCGCATTAAAATGGCGAAACAGTGGGCGTACTTTTTCAGCACCGTACCATCCTGGAGATATCTGAAACAAAATTTTGAGATGCAATTCATCGAGGGAAATTGTGCTATCCTGGTGTAACTAGCTACGCGGTTTTATTATTACCGAAAAGATTGACAGGACAGGAAGGATAAAGAAACAAAAGGCTATCTTTCTTGTCCCTTAACATCACCCTGCGCAAGCATCTCTCTGGCGCCCCTTTCGTAAATATTTTGAGACAAGAACCTAGACTATGTTCAAACTATACCGCAGAGCTTTTGAACCGGTAAGAAAACCAAACTGGATAGGGATTCTGTTGACACATAAGAACAGTGATTAACGGAGTGAAGCTGCGCAACGCCGACCTCTAAAATGGAAAGTCACATATCGGATATGTGTCCATGCTATACCGGATAGATTTTCGTGTCGCAAAAAAAGCTATCCGGAAAAGTGTGAACATAGCCTTAGAATCTATTTAGCGGCTACGAGTTTCCCGGGACACTGTCAAGTTGTTCCTAACCTTGCAATGATCAACTGTCCATGGTTCTGCATGGCATCGTACAGTTTCCGTTCCTCGTCTGATAGCTCCACTTCTTGGATGACCACGGTACGAGGTGGTAGCTTGACCAGCGGTTTACCCTCATCGTGGTCAGACTTTAGCCGTCTAATGGAGATATGTTTGAGGAGTTTCTGCAAACGACTATGAGTGAAAGAAAAAAAACACTTTATTTGAGTCTTAATGTATTTAGCACTCCTAGTGGAGACGGGACCGGCATTTTACGTGGTTATCCGAGCAATGCGAAGGTCTACCCGTTTACCCATTTCTCAGTTATTTTAAGACCCTGAGTATTGGTCCGGTCCAGGTTATCAAGCCCACGACCTCCCGCTCAGTAGTCAAGTGCTCTACCGGCTGACCTAATCATGCTGCGGTTAAACGAACCGAAGTTCAAAAGCGAAAGAAAATTACGCTTATCTCGGAAAAAAGGAAAAACAAATACAAATACAAGGGCGTGGTAGTACAGTCTACGAGATCAACAGCTTCGTGAGTGGAAATTCACCATATATCACAAAATAAGGCGAGTAAAAAAGTATACGAGAGTACTTGTAAGAAAAAAAAAACATGCAAATCCTTGAAAACGGATAGAAAAATGTCTACATGCCCAGCTCATTAATTGCATTTATTATAGGCTGAATCCGCGGACGACAAGATGAAGCGAATCCTGCGTTTTGAGTGACTACCCCTTTGCCCCAAAGCACAAAAATCACCGGGGAAGAATGCAAAAATGGTGGAGCGACAGAGAGCGAAATTTTCACTATTGCATACGCCTGCATTTCGAAAGATGCAATTTTGCATCAGGACCAAACGCCAACGTAACACTCGAATTAGTAGTTTTGGTTCTACTTGGCTACAGTCTTGGACAAAAAATGTTACGAAAAAAAGTTTTTATTTTTAGTTTCAGGATAAAGCTCTCTAAAGCAGTAGGAATTAAAAAAAACTCGCCCCTTTGCCCCAAAGACTATTACTGCCCCCAAATGAACAACATTGACAAGGGTGGGGTGGGGAAGGGATCCTAGTGGTACCCGATCCGCAGGATAGGCCTTCTGTGGGTAAGAAAGCGCAAAATTCTTAACACTTTTTGTTCAAGATTGTAGCATAATGTACAAAAGCCTTATCTTTTGGCAAAAATTTCCTAGGATGAATGAGTTAAACAGAAGTCATCTTACTTGACAGCCAGCTGACAACCTCTTCTGACACTGGTTGCCAATGCGGAGTTCCACCAGCTTTTGTTGTCAAATGGCTCCACACGCAAAAACTTTACCACGGACCACAGGTCATCCAGTCTGTTCTGTATTGGTGTCCCTGTGAGGACCCACCGACGCTTGGCTTCTAGCTCTGCCATAGCCTTAGTCAAGCGAGTCTGAGGGTTTCTTATGGTATGACCCTCATCTAGGATGACACGTAACCATCTAATCTTGTGAAGTGGGGAATCATTCTGCAAAGAAAGTAACGTGGAATGACTGAATGTGCCTTGGCGCCCGTTCATGAAGGTCCTGATTATTAAATAGCCCAGAAAGCTGTTATTGGCTTTACATTAAAGATAGGGGTTTCAATAGTTTAGCAGATAATAAAACATAACCAATCGTCAGTTAACAAAAACGCGCTTGAAAACGCGATTTGATTTGAATATTTGATTCCGCGACTTTCGAGACACGGGTCCTTAAACAGAGTGTTAAATGAAAAAAAATATTTCCTCTACTTAAATAGATGCCCAAGGATTACAGAAAAAAGTATCTAACAACTGAAAAAATACGATCTGGACATTTTTACAGCAACTTGTTAGAGGGCATGTCACTAGTTTACTTTATTCTTTCAATGTTTGAAAAAGCCTTGAGTTACTGTGTGCACCGCTTAAGTGCACAAGAGATTGGAATAAGTGACTGGACTACAGATCAAAGGGGACAGACATTCAAGGCATATGCTAGAGGCCCTTTTAACCGAGTTCAATAATTCTTTTATCACTCGATCACGGAAGCAATCTGCCATTTTCACGCAAGAGAGATAGCAAGAAGGAGGAAAGTGTGGTTTCATTAATGAGCAGAATATTATTAATTTTGTAGAGAGTTATTTATTTTGCAGGTCACGTGGGGGGCTCTCGGCCAACAAAAAGGAAGAAAAATTTGCATCAAATGATAACAAGCCTTGCTTGTATTCAGACATGTCATGGAAGATTTTGCAGCATAGAGGGCTAGTATGATATGGGATTGAACTTTTGAAGCATGCAAGGCACCTTGGGAAGAGTGAAGAAAAGGATATGCCTGAATTTTTTGGTCAACCATCCCCATGGAACATTTACATTAAAGATAGTGCAACCTGCCCTTGGTCCCTTAGGCATATGGGTACCTGGGTACAAGCAGCTGCTAAACTATATGCAATGACTATGTGGATGGCTAGCCTCAGGGTTCGTACCTGTTCTTGAACAAAAAAACCAAGTACTTTTCAAGGACATTCAGGGACATATTTCCCATTTTTCAAGGACTCCATTCAGTGCAAAAAAGAGCCTTGAGTCTATGTCTTTTTTAGTTCTTTCCCAACATGAGCAATTTTATACTGAAAAGTCTTTCTGTGTTCGTTGGGTTGGATAAAGTTAGCACCAAAATTCAAGGACTTTCCAGCACTCACTGCAATTTTCAAGAACTTTCAAGGCCTTGAATTTCTATTTTAAAATTCAAGAATGAACTTTCAAAGTGTGTGCGAACCCCATAGCCTGTTTGAGAATCTCATGTGAAATTAAAAAACAAAGGACTAAAATCAAGGCATCACAAATGGCATACTCACTCTGCTGTAGTCGTTAGTCAATGTGGGATAGGTGGTCAGCACAATGTCTTGCTGTCTAAGGAACTTCACATCTCTGAGTCGCTCTGGTCCATAATACATGTAAACTTGTAGACTAACATCAGGATGAACATGACTACAAATCTGATCCTAAAAAAACAAAGAAACAAATGGTCAGTCAATTTAGTAAAACTATCAATTTAAGTAAATTTAGCCAAGGTCAAAAGTGAAGCTCTTGTGGGATCTTTAAAGAAATGTCTTTCCCATGTTACTTAATTTTGGTATAAGAAAAAAAGGCAGACTGTATTCCTCTTCGTCAGGTCACATGGTGTTTGAGAGTTCAGCTGTTTTTGTTGCCATCTGCCAGTACCTTAATCTGCCCCACCCACCCACCCTTCATGTGTATTTTGGGTTGTTTTAGGATTTAAAGTAGTGCTGTAGTTCTGGTTGTTCTTGTATGTAGTTTCTTGTCAGCCGTTTATTCGCTTTTTTGTGCTGTAATACGAGTAATTTGTTGTGTTGATATCAAAAGTCAGGCTGCAAGATTCATACTTACTGTCCAGTTACTGAGGACTGACAGTGGACACACAATTAAGGTAGCAGCGTGGTCATCATCTGACTGAGGTCTGCTGTTTACTTTAGCATCTTTTTTGTTCCCACCAGCTGAAAGCCAAGGTCCCACCAACACATCATCCTCATCAATGGTGATGGGTGTGTGCTGAGTTTGGGGTGAGTGAACATCTTTCTTGTCTTTGCACTTTTCCTTCTTTATTGATTTACTACAGAGAATAACAAACATAAAGTGCTCAGGAAAAGGACAACATTTGAACACATTGTCTTAAAAAGTGTAGAGCTTTATAGCCAAAACAGGCCACAATGGTTGCCTTAGGGTTGGGGGGAGGAGGTAGTGGCTGCCATGATAAGGAGGCCATCATGGCATCTTATTAACAGGTCTGTTACTAAAGGCTGAGGGCAAAGGATTTCCCACAGGAACATGTACTATGAGTATGCAGTGATTTAACATTTTGTTACAAACAGTTATGGTGAGTATTGGGACTCATCTTGTGAAAAATAGTGAGTCCCAGTCCAGAACCAGTGAGTCCCAGTTGAAAAAAAACAACAAGTCCAAAATTGAAAATGCTTGGGACTTTCCATATCCAGACAGTTAATCTGAACACAGACTCCCAAACTCTGTATTACAGTGCACTGAAATTAAAAATAAAAAATATAGTCCTTCTATTTTAAGAGACAACAAAGGCTAAAAGAAAGATAATGGCATTGTTAAACAACAGCCATAATAACTGCCACAGAAATTACATGAACAGGATATTGCTACAAACACACACGTTCAGATCGATCGATCAATCTTTGCATCCTACGGGATGCATGCAATGAATTATTTGCATCTTTGGGGATTTTGATGCGTCATGGATGCCTGACGCAGTGGTAACAAAATCACTGAGTATGAGCCCTGGCAACTTGGATTCATGAGAAACAAGAGGAAAGTAGAACCAAAGAACTTCTTAGATACAGTTTGTTGTATTTGTTGTGGTTCCAATTTACATGCAATCTTTGGTTTACATTATTTTTTTCAACCAGATTAAAAAGTTGCATTTAATTAACATATTCAATTTGCTCATAACATATACATGTTCCCCTCAACTTGAAATCAAGGTGGACGCCCTGATTAATATGAATGCAATAAAATGTATTAATAAAGAAATCAGAGACTAAAGGCTGGAACAAATTAAATGCTAACGAAACAAAGACAGTAGTCTACAGTGACTATATCTCAGTTGAGGATGCAAAGAAAGTCAGGTTTATAGTTTGTCTTTTGGGCAAGCTATAGCTACAGCCCCAGAGGGGGTACTCCGGATTTCAAGTGACATGGATGATCCAAAGATTTTTTGGGTTTGAACTTTGTTATCCTAGAGTTTTTTGGGGTAGGAAAATTTGGTAGGTGTCTTTTTGGTGGCTTGGTGTAAGTTGCAGCTCCCCCCCAAAAAATCTTTGATAAGCAGGATTCATTACAGTTCTTCTGTAATTTGAATACCCCACCCCACCCCACCACCCCCGAAAAAAGAAAGCTGTCCCCACTTATCAGGCAAGTTAACAACAGAATTCACTAGCACAAAAGCAAAATCCAGTACCCCTGGGCTATGGGGCACGCCTTTCTCCGCATAGTGCAGAAAACATACAGCTGTGCAGTACTTAGCAGTTACATGAAGGCAACAAGCATAGACTTGGATAAAATTATTAACAGACAACTAAACCAGCAACATACCTAGAAAACTTGCTTAAGTACATCTGCCTGAACTTAAAGCCTGGCTGCTTCAAAGTCTTGCTGTCTGGCAAACTGTAATTATGTAACAGTGCAGTTAAGTCAACTGGCCAAAGCAAATTCAAAACACAATAATATGACTGATATTCCAATCAATGTTCTTCTCTAAATTAAGTCAGCTACACGTATATTTCCTAACAGAAAGATTGTGGATTAAATCCTAAATTTGAAGTGAACAATCAACAAACTATAAAAAAACAAGTATTCACAAAAACAAACCCAAAAATTGACACAGAGATCCAGGAACAGGAATATCAAAAATTCAAAGCAGAGATGAAGCAATACAATTTCCTCAGGTTTCTTAGAAGATCGCGACAGTGGTTGAACTGGTCTGCATAAGTTATGTGACTACCTCTTCTTTTTATCTGCAATGTCCTTTTTCTTTTTTATGGTTACTTGTTTGACAGACTCCTTGTCCTCCATCATGACATCTCCATCTCCATCTCCACTGTTGCTGTCTTTCCGCAACATCTTCTCAGGTTTACAGTCCATCCCTTCACCTGAAGTAGATGCTGCCCTCTTGAAAAAATATATGAACAAAGTGCTTAGAAAGAAACCCTACACAGACTATAATTATTAATGAGGACAAAAATACACAGCAAGTGTCTAGTAACAACAATATATTAACTATCAAGTAATGGTACTGTTAGACTAAAGGCAAGGACACCAGGGTGTGGTTCCTCAAAAGAGGGACAGTAAGTTTGACCCAACTTAGACCAGAGCTACATGGGTGGGAGGTCACCATTCCACCATGCTTTCTGTGTCCGTCCACAGTTGCTTGAAATCATTTTTCTGGGTGGATGTTCGAGTTAATTGTAAAGGAAACCGAAGATGAATGGTGCTCTGCACTCCTTCCCATTGTCCCTGACTTGTGCTTCTTGCTCGTCTCCAGCACCCCACTTTTAAGGTCCATGCTTCCCACTACATCTTCAGAAAGATTGCAGAAAAAAGGCAGAAATCTCCTCCCTTGCTACCATATTTACTCAGAAAAAACTGCAGTGATTATAAACTTTTCTGGAGATTTCAAGGTAGCACCTTTTCAAGGGTGCCTCTCATTAAAAAGGTACTACAGCAAAACAGCTTTGTTCATTCACATGTTTACACCAAATAATTGACAGCAACAACAAAACTCAGAGTAAAATGTAACTGCCACGTAAATATTATTGGTAAGCTCCTGCAATTTCGGGAAAAAAATTATGTTTTCCAAAAAAACCTATTGTAAAAATGAATTAATTATATTGTGGATGTATCTAGGTTGGTTTTACCATTTTCATTTTTCAGGGCTGTTTGTAAGATTTCATGCTGCCAGGGGGTCTTGACAAACTGCGAGCCAGCGAGCCAGCGAGTCATGCGAGTCATGCGAGTCATCATGTGAGCCATGCGAGACAGAAGTTCGAAGGAAAGAGAATCCATTTTTTGGCGAATCATAAGCAATTTAACTTTTTTAACATTTGTAGCATGAAATTAGCGTTCAGACGACAGCAAGAAAGTCTTTTAAAGAAAATGTATGAAAAGGTAACCGGTCAAGTCGCCCGAAAGTCATGAGTCCTAAGTCATGTCGCCCGCAATTTTATCGAGTGTATAAACTTGAAGAAAAGTAACATGTAAATCGCAAGGAATAAACTCGTAAAATGTTGACTCGCTAACGAAAATACCCCTCAATGACGTCATAGCTTTTTCGATAAATGTGAATTTTGAGAAGGAACGTTAAACTTGTTAGTAAGTCAGATTTTTTATCGCGATATTCTTAAGCCATTGGCATTGGTTTTATTGTGAAAGACGCAAGACGTTTGGGTTTTAAAGAGTGTTTTTTTATGTTCTGGTCACGTGACTTACCACATATGGTGTGACTCATTAAACGTGACCGAGGAAGAACCTTTAAACCTTTGTGTAAGACGTTTAACGAATTCTCAAACCTTTGTTATTGTTTCACCCCGTTCAATTTGTATGTTGGCGAATTTTTCTGAAGCTGAATTTTAAAGGACGTGCCTTTGGAATAAATATGTTACGTAGTAGTTTACGTTAAAAACAAAGTTATTTTATGCTGACTCGCATGACTCGCATGGCTCGCATGTTGACTCACATGTTGACTCGCATGACTCGCTGGCTCGCTGGCTCGCATATTATACACACTCCTGCCAGGTAAATACAACAAGTAAGCAGGGAATCAAGCAGCTAAGGATTTCTTTCTGTTCTTTTCTTCTTCTCTCTTTTTTTTTTTGGAAGTAACCAGGGATCATGAAGTAGCTGGGGGAAAAATACCAGGCCCACAGCTCTTAAAGACAGTGCTGGTTATTTACTTTTATGCTGTTTGAATGAGTACCACATTGTAGTCATTACTAGTATTATTGTTAATTTTAATGTCAGTCCTATTAAAAGTTCTCCTGTTTGAGTGGCACGTGTTTGGAAGTGCTACTTAAATGTATTCAAGAGTAGAACTTTCAAGTAAATACAACTGTCAAAAGAAGTTGTTTTCATCAAAATGAATGATGGAACCTAAAAGTTGCACACCTTGTGAGCTGACGACTTCCTGGAGAACATTGGCTGTCCATTAAGGTGATTAGCCATTATCAATGTGATGACAGTAAGTGTCTTTCCAAGCCCCATGTCATCAGCAAGGATACCTCCTTTAGGAGAATGTGGCTTTCTATCAGTGGACATCTTTGTTCCTTTGTTGAACCAGGTGCTCTTGTTGACCTGGGACCAGAATGGTGCTAGATCACCATTGTTTTCTCTCAGCATCATCCAGTGTACGGCATGTAACTGGTAAGGAAACAGTCGGGTAGTGATGGCCTGGCAAATAAAACATAGGCAAAAAAATTAAAATAAAATATTTTGTTGGTGTGAAAAAGTCTGACTGTTGAATCAGAGAGTGAGAGTGTTCCCTCTGAGAAAAGGAGCCATAGCTGCTGCCAAACGCATCAGACAAGTCATAGAGGAGGAAGACAAATGAACAGTTCAAGCTGATTTATTGCTGATTATCATGAACAGAACTGTTACTAATGACACTTTTGAGACTCTTATGTTGAGTATTGACTTCTGTACTTTTATTTGCTTTACACAGGGAGAGTGTTGGAGCGAAAAAGCATGACTGTTAAGCGTGTGGCGTGACATGTGGAGAGAGAGTGACGAAAGCCATGCAAACCTGTTTTATCCAGTAAAAACAGGAGAGACTTGAAATAACACTGAGAGAAGCTGAGAGGGGTGAGTTGTGTGAAGAGAAACATGTAGCAAGACAAGTGCGTGAGTTGTATTAAACTGTTTTATTTTGTGTGAGTAACCTTTGTTATAAAATCTCCGCAACAAAATTGGTGACCCTGCCAGGACTTGTGCTCTGAGAAAGATGAGTTTTGACTGTGAGAACCGACCGACGTGGGAATAAATCTGAAGAGAAATGAAACCAAGCATCAACACGTGGTAAACAATGGGTGAAGTCAAGGAATTACAAGACAAGATCGAACATACTTGAAGGAAGGAACGTCAAGGCAATTGAAAGACATGGCAGCACCTTAGAGTCTATAGTTAAAAAGGTTTATGAGCTTAAATTACGAGTGCAGGAACTACGCCTTGAAAACGATAACAGTCTGGAGGATGTTAGATCGTAGAGCAAAACCTTAGAAGGAAAAGTTAACTCGAAGACGTGCTCATAAAGGTGAGGTACGTGGTTGCTGAATTCAAGTCACAAAGAAGAGAAATTTAGAGAAGAAAAGTGTAACAGAATGTTGGATGAGCAAATCGAAGTTTGTGAAGTTTGAGAATTTAGTTAAGGGAGCATTATGGGATTGTGAGAAATCAGCTGGTCTTGGAGCAAAGTTTCTATGGAAAATTAGCAAGTCACATTCAAGTTCTAGAGACTATGGGCAAGGTCAAGGAAACTGGAGGATTCGTGCATTCAATGCTTAATAAAATACCAGGCATCAGAGCAGATTTTGTTTGGTTGGATGATAATAGACAAAAGTAGGAATTTCCAGAATTACCTGAATCTCTCAGGAAGTGGTGTGATCGTAATCCTACTCTTACTGAAGGCAAACCTACGGTGGCCCAGAAGGGTCACACATGCAAATTAAAAATGCCTCTGCAAACTAAAAATTTTACCTGCAAATTGAAAAGGTTGCTGCAAATTAAAAATAAGACATGCAAATTAAAAATTGTACATGCAAACTAAAAATATTACAAACATGAAACATGAATGGGCCGACGGCTGTAAGGCCAGGTTGCACAGCTCGGACCAGGTCCTCATCACTCATACTGCGCGCGCAGGACTTTTCATTTTTAATTTGCAGCGATATGTTTTCTATTTTCAACTTGCAGCACAATTTCTAGTTTGCATGTATTATAGTTTAATTCGCAGGTAATATTTTTAGTTTGCATGTACAATTTTTAATTTGCACGCACTATTTTTAATTTGCAGCAACATTTTTAATTTGCATGTGTGACCCTTCTGGGCCACCGTACAAACCTGACCCTCTACATCGTTAGCCACATAGGAAGAATCTTGCTCTTTACACCAAGGATGGGAGTGCCAGATTGGGCCGTAGCTGCATGTATTGCACTGGCAAAGATCACAAGTCTGCAGAGTGCAAACAACACACTGACTTGAAACTACAGAAAAAGATCTTGAGTGACAAAAAGCTGTCCTTTAATTGTATGGGTCAAAGACATAGAGCACACAAATGCCTTAGCAAGCATACCTGCCAACATTGTGCAGGTAAACACGATACCTCTATTTGTGACAGGTAACCTGGTAACAATCATATGTTGCTGGCAACTGGTGAAGGGACTGTGGTTTATCCAGTTGTGGTGGTAGTTGTTGATGGTATTGTAATAATGTACAGCATTACTGGATACTAGGGCCGGTACTTCATACACATCAGCAGCCTTGGTTGATAAGATAAACAAGCAACCTACACATGTTGAATGCAAGCAGATTGAGATGATTGTCTGCTCAACAGTGCAGAGGGTGCAAAGCTACTAGGTTAAGATCTCAAGAGTTGACGGGAAATATGAGATGACAACACAGGTCAATAAAGTGGACAAGGGTGTATTGCTCACAGTTCCAAACACGAAGTATGAAGACTTGATTAATAAGTATCATCAACTGCAAGGATAAGTTAGTAATGGATGATAATCACAAGAAAAGTGAGCTACTCATTCAAGACATGTGATACTTGGAGCAAGTGAGTGCTCAAAAATACACGAAACCTCAAGCAGGGCAGCCATCTGAACCAATCGCAGGACTTACACATTTGAGATGGACAATGAGGGAAGGAAGTCCCGTGCTCCAATGTCTTTTTTGTTTCCAATATCTTTTTTCAGTCAGGTCAGGGTTCAAGACTCTGCTACTGGTAACATTGTAACCCAGTACTACCTGCCTCATGGACAAGTGGTCGGTGTCTACACCAGCTCTCCCACCAGCTATATGCTGCCGAGGAGAGTGGCATGTCACCCAGCAGGACGAAAAACAAAACCTGTCAAAGGGAAGATGAGCTTCTTGAGAGCCAATCGCCAGCATGCATCAGGCATTGTGGAGCACTAAGGGTACAGTTAGACAGACTCAATCTGGTAGCCATCCACTATATCCTACTCTATCTCCAGCCATCTCGACTGTCGTGCGGCCAGATAACTAGGGATGAGAGGGAGAGGCTGACGACACTGCGCTACTCTCCCTCTCTTTAATCCAATTCACACGTAATTCAAGACATCACCCCACACCCAGTCCACTTAAGCCCTGTGGTGATAGACGAGTGATAAAGCAGAAGGTGCAGATACACTGGAAGCTGTGGTCATAGACCTGCACACAGGCAACCCAGGGCATTAGGTTTACTCACTACTGGACCGAAGCAGGGGGGGAGTTCAGGAGCCCCCTCACTGACTGAGCAATCCTCTTTAGGAATCCCTCTGCTCACCTCCATGGCCTGAGGAAGGGGCTAGAAAAGGTGCCCCAAATATAGGCTGCTTCACCTTACCCAGGCCTGCATACCGTGGTAGGAGGGGATTGGATCCCATGTATGCGGTCAAAATATCAGGATGAACACAAAAGTGACATCACTAATCATTGGCACATGAAATGTATGTACATTCAAGGATAGCACTGGAGCAGACAGACCTGACAGACGGACAGCACTTGTTGCAAGAGAATTTGGCAGATAGAACATCCATATCGCAGTGCTGAGTGAGACCAGGTTTGCAAATGAAGGTCAGCTGGAGGAAGGCAAAGCTGGCTACCCCTTTTTCTGGAGTGGTCGCAACAGTGAGGATCGTCAAGAAGCAGGAGTGGGCTTTGCTGCCAAAACAAATCTGATCAGTATGCTTACCAACCTTCCAAAAGGAATCAAGGTTGCCCCAAGACTTTTAGGCTCCCTTTCCGAGGAAAACACTATGCCACCCTAATAAGTGGATATGCTCCCACAATGACAAATCCTGAGGAGAACAAAGACAAATTCTACAAGGACTTAGAAAACATACCAGTACTTGAAGGCGCCCCAGGATCCAAAGCAAATTGATAATCAACCTAGGTTAAAAAATTTTAACCTGAATTTAATTTTGACTTGTAACATACACATACCTCAGGTTGCTCAGCTTTTGTTATCTTGTTATATTCAACCAAAGAGTCAAAGAGTTGGTCCAGCTCATTCAAAGGCTAAAAATTAGGGGGAAAAAAAGATTTTTGAATAGAAACAAAGCACATTTAAAATGACCAAAGTTATAAACATTGTAATGTAGGAATCATTTTGACCTACAGAATAAAAATTTCAAACTGAGGATATTGCAGTAAAGGAATGTCAAAAAGAGGGAAGATATGTGAGGGGTAAAGACATGAAAAATCCCTTTCATTATGTCTTTGTGACTTCGAGAATGCAACCTGCAAATTTAAAAATTAATAATCTATTAACAGCGTAATCAAGTCTCATGGTATGATAACAAGAAGTCTTGCTTCAAGGCATCTAGTTTGTTCAGGACATTTATTGAGATCAGTCTGGCCCCAGTTGTTCAAAAGTTGGATAGCGCTATCCAACGGAATAAATCACTATCCAGCAGATAAGTATTACCGGAAACAATCATTGCATTATCCGCTGGATAGTGATTTACCCAACGGTTGAACAACCGGGGCCTAGAGAATACTTTGTATGTGAATATGTCATAGTTCAAAATTTTATTGAGGTTTAACCAAGGTTGATTCTCAATAATTCTTTCCTTTGCCTCCTATGTAGCCCTAATCCAAGAATAATTATTATTATAGCTAGGAGACAAAGGGAATCGAGAATCAATCTTAGGTAAAAAAAAATTACCCTACATTTAATTTTAACCTGTAACAGATATTGGGGCTTAAAGGGTCTCAGGGCCAGTCATTAAGTGTCAATTATTTAACATTTTAAAAAAGTTCTCAGGATTGTGCTCACCACAACTGGAAAAATTTGTGGCTTAACATCAGGTGCAGAAGGATCCATGCCATTTTTCTTGTCCTCACCCATTCCATTACACGTGCACTCTCCCTGACATGATCCACTGCAAGTGTTCAAAGCAGCATCACCAGAATTCTGGGTGCTAACGCCAGATGTTCCTGGACATGAGCACACAAGGATAGAGTTACATTTTTCGCATGGTTTGAAGTTTGGAAAAGCAGTGGAAATTTCTGGGACTTGACTGACGGCTGAAGATGCAGCTGTTTCAATACTAGGATCTACTGAAGTTTGCATCAGAACTGTACTAGTGGAAATGTCTTTGGGTGATGAGACTGTGGTTTCTGTGAACAGAAACTTCTCAGCAGCTGGAATCGTACCATAGTCTGTAGAGACAGACGCTGATGAGGTTGATGATGTACTATTTTCAGGAACATGCCTAACAGCTGCAGATGCAGTAGTTTCAGCACATGGATTTGTCAAATTTTGTGTGATAGCAGCACTACCACTAGTTGTCACGACATTTGGTGCAGGCACTGGAGTTTCCGCAAACTGACCATTCCCAGCCACTGGAATCTTGACACAGTCCATATGCATAGGAGTTGATGTGGTCAACAATTCACTTGAGACCACACTGAGCTTTGGATCTTCACTTTTCGACACTGTGACTGGCATAGCCCATGGAATAACTTTCTTCATTGCCAAATTAATTGCAGCGGAAACAAATGAAGAATTGAGTTCCGTCGTCGGCATTGGTGAGGTGGCAGGGGTGTGCACCAAATTCTGACAATTTTCTGACGACAAACCTAACACAGGGTAGGAATACAATGTAATTGGAATTTTAGGAGGGGCTACAGACAAGATAGACTGTGGATCGCTGGTTATAGGATTGGCTTGTGCTGCACTCTTGTCATTTGTTTCAGACATTACACTTGTTGACTCCATTTCCTCTGGCACATCTAAACATGACTGTTTGATCTCCATTTTGTTTTCTGCTGGTGAATAATAAGGCGGACCTTTGATACTGTTAACAGTTGATGTTGTGCACATATCGGACAAAGAACAGGATTCCTGGAGTGTTCCTTGTGTGGCACATGGAAATAACTTTGTTGCTCCAACTGATGAAGAGTAGTTGTTACTCTGCTGTAGATCTGCTGGGCATTTGCCAGCATCAAGTATAAAGTTTACATTTGTGCCACAAACTTGCTTATCTTCACGTGTGTTGCTGATCTGGGCAGTTTCCTTTTCACTGTTGGACGAATGACTGCTCGAGTTTGTTTCTTTTCCCAGTTCGCTACCTTTCATATCTATACAATTTCCAGGTAAGTGTTGAGGCACATTTGCAGTTTCGGTGCTTTGAACGTGACATTCGCGCGTTTCATCCACTTCACTGTTTTGAACGGGCTCTTTTTCATTAAAAAGTTCGCCTTCATGACTCGCACAGCTGACAGAACCCTCAGCCAGGTTTTCATGATTTTCGATCCGATTGTCCATTTTCTCCATCACGGAAGATAGAACACAGGAGTCGCTTTTAACCTCGCCAGTACTGCTACCATTTTGAACAACACCGTGAATTTGCGAGCCATTTTCCGCTGCAAATGTAACGTTAGCCACTTCCGCCATTATAGAGTTCAACAGTTACTAGCCACAGGAGCTTCTATAAACGGCGCAGTTCATGAAGAATACAACGATCAATATCTTTGTCGTTACGTGTGTGGAAAAGATAACAAAGGGAAGCGAATATTTGCAAAACAGCGGCTAATAAATCAAAAACTCTAATGACCCTCAGATGTATTTCGATTTTAGCGCGAATCGCGCGCTAAGCATGCTCAAGATTTTCCATATTTGGAAGCCCCTAAAAATTCCCTGGGGTGTCCATAGTGCAATCTGATTGGTCGGTTTTTAACAGAGGGAAAATGACATGTAACCAAGGCTTTCGCAAACAAAAGCGAAGGGTCGCGTGAATTTACTGAAGTTATTGTAAACATTGAAAAGTTTGTTTGACTAAGGCTCACGAGAATTTGAACGGACATTTACCAACGCGTTTTATGGTCGATAAACATTGATGTTATTCTAAAGGCATGGCCTCTTCTTCAAAACACAGTCCTTTGTTTTCGTCCGAAAAAGGAAGTATGAAGGGTGACCCGTTTTTGCATGGTTCCGAAAAGCCGATATTTGATCGCACAGCTGGAAAGAATGACACACGCGGTGGATTAGACATAAACTGTGGAAACCTTATGGAGAACTTGGATGATCTGACAGGAGAACAGTTAGACGAACTTTTGCAAGATGCTTTGGATATTAATAAAAGGCTGAAAGCCTTGGAGAGAAAACAAGCCGTGGAGTCCCGTGGGGAATATTTGTCAGATAAAATTACCTTTGGGAAGAGCTCGCTTCCAAAACAATCTCCCTTTCTACCTCCGCTTGGGCAAACACAGACTTCTCTTGTAACTCCAATTGCTGTTTTACAGGGAGCCAAAGTTGACAAAGAAGGAAGGCGCCAGAAAGCAAGCGTGATGTGAATAGATGAAAAGAGAAGGAAATTTAGTATTTGAATGAAATTTGGAACGCTAATGTATAGCCGCTGGGTAGACTGATACCAAGAATTTGAAGAAATGGAAATTATCAAGACTCATCACGGAAAGGAAACCTTAAGAACAATTAAATTTATGGGTTTATTTCGACATTTTTTTTTGCTATAAACACTCTAGTCTTTTTTTGTCTACCTTCAAAAAAAACAACATAACAACTACCCTGAATCAACAGCAGGTTGTACTTATTTGCAAATATGTTTGAACTGGGCTCTTGGCCAAATATTAAGATAGAAAACATCATTGGTCCTATGGGCATAAGTTACTTTCCAATACTGTTGATCTGGTTTTTTCCTACACAATGGTCAACAACACCAAGAAAAAAAAAGAATTAAAACAACATAAGATTTTTCACAGAGTTTTTATTATAAACTTAATAGTAACACAAACCATTAGTATAATGCAGTCTTGTGCATGTACATATGTCTATGGAAACCTCCATCCAAAATGTTCGTTTATTCGTAAAAAAGAATTACTACATTTCCTCAAATAATAGCCCTCTCTAGACTAACCCCTTTTGAACTGCTTTTAATGTAATGATGATGATAATAATAATATCAGTATTGTTATTATTATTACTATAAATATTACTATCTAGATTAGTTTATCAACATCATATATATGTGAAGCAAATAATAAAGTAATGTTGTCCAAGCCTTGATATTTAGAAAATACAGTATCAGAACAATACTTTTAGGGGAAAAAATGTGTCTATCAATAATAATTATTAAAGTACTTTTTAGATCCTACATTGTAAACTTAAAATTCTATTTACCAGAAAAAAAAATGTGATATAAAAATACTATTGTTGTGTTTGTTATAGTGTAGCAATAGACTTTCACACTTTTTGCTATGTTCCATACTTCACTTACCATCGAACCTGCCATAAGTGACTACTCAAAAATTTATGCGAAGATTTAGCAGTCACTTATGGGTGGTGGTCACTTACGAGAATCAACAAAAAGGATTTCTTCCAGGAAAAGCCCCTGATTCATCTCATTTTTGGAAGGTAATTTATTTTTTGCAATTTCTAAGTTAAGTTAGCCCACGTGGCAAGAGTTTCTGTTTGGTTTCAGAGCAAAGAAAGACCGAGAAACGGGATTTTCGGTTTTGGCCGCATGAATTGGCTCTCAGTCCTCGTTCTTTGCTCCGAAACTGCATGTACACCCTTGCTACAAAGACTAAAGTCAAGCATGAATGTACTCTCTTATGAGCAACCTGAGATGAGGTCCAATTTAAGCAGTTCTGATACATTCTCTCTTCGAATGTTGTTTACGGATAATAGTCGTATCTCTCCTTTTGACGACTCTCATAAGCGACCAGCTCTAGTTACGACCACCTTTGTGAAACCCCATTTTAACTGACTTAAACTTTGTACTGAAAAGCTCTTGAACTGTGACTACTTTTAGGATTATCCAAGTGGACTTTTCCTTTGTTTTTAAGCTCTCGTAAGTGACCACTCAGACTCCATAAAACAGGAACTGAGTTTATTGAATAGCTTCAAAACCTGATGTAGATCAACTCATTCTTGCACTAATATTTAGATCTGGGGTCATTTTGGTCTGAAAAAATGGACATAAAGTTTAGCTGTATCTAAGTAAAGACAGTCATTAAACATTAGTTTCCTTTTGTGTTTTCTTTGTGAATTATTTATGAGTTTCTGAAACTCTCGTAAGCGACCACCCTCTATTGTACAGGTTTTACCATGCAGTCAACCACATACAAGAGCTCATTTTCGTAAGTGACTAGCTCTAGTTATGACCACTTCTTTCGAGTTTCTGAGGTGGTCCCTTACGAGAGCTTAAACTGCATTTTTATGTAGAATTCTAAAAACTAGGGTTCATTCGCAAAACTAAGGGCAAAAGTAAACAACAGAAACCATAAAATCAGAGGACAAGGGGCTAAAAAGATCTAGCCACACACCATTTTTGTGGCGAACAGGATAACAATAATTTCAAAACTGACATCAGCTATTAGTGGAAAGGGAGTCAGTTTTGTTTAAGTGTACAGAGTAGAAAAAAGGTAAGATTTAAAATGTGTAAGAACAATATTATTAACCAAACATGTATGAGTAAGTCAAACAAACAAAAAAATATCAGTGGTGTACATTGGCAAAATGAAAAAAATAAAAAAATAGTAAGACAAAATGGTTTAATTTATGAACTCAGCTAATAAGAAAAAAGTGGGCTAGGGTCACAATCAAATTCAAGTTAAGATTTTTTACATATAACCTGGGTTGTTTCTTAACCGAATTTAATTTTTAGCTACAAAATATAATCTATGCCATCCATTCAAACAGGCAGGTCCAGTTCAGGGCTAGCCCTTTAATAAGAGAGCCACTGAATCCCTTTACAGTAAATAAAAAAAATTACTGACCTTTTCAACAACTTCATCCTTGAGATCAACTCAATGCAATACTACACCTTGGTAATTGGTTAATATAATAGCTGCGGCCACACTATTGGACTTAACCAACTTATTTCCAATTAACAAATTAAAGTTAACTTGTTAAAAACAAACTGCGAGTACGGCCGGGTATTCTACAGTCTTATCCTAGTTCTAACCGGGTTATGCAAATCAAGCAAGAACAATAGGTTTTCTTAACTAGATTTGGCTGTTTTAAACCACCTTGCAAGGTAGTTTAACGCAGGTTAACATTATCAATTACTAAATCACCTCTGCTTATGCGTGAGAATGGTCCAAATCTTGGTTTTACCACCCACACGAGCAAAACAGTTTTAAAAATGACTTCTTCCACTCCAAGTTCAGCTTTTCTTTCTTAACACAATTGAGTTAAGACATTTTATAAGTGGACCGCTTTTCATCGGTAATACGGCCCAGTCAAATTTTTTCAGTCATTCTTAGGGAAGTGGTATAAGCAACCCAGGCAACCATGCAACATTGAGTGACTTTTTGAAAGTCTAAATTGAGTCTGGCAGCTGAAAAAAAAATTAACCCACTTAAACTCTTTTAACCAGATTACTTCCTGAAAAATTTTTCACTGGGTTTTTCAAAAATTAACCCGGTTAACTTGCCAAGTGCGGCCACAGTCAATGTTTGTTTGCTGAGTGGGATGAAACAATATGGAGACAGCTTATTACGACAGGTTTCATAAGCAGGGACCAATTCCATCAGTTCAAACTACAATTACTTCTAAACAATTACAAAATTTCTTGTCGTATAAAATGTATTTCTTTAATCCGAGTCTTCTTCTTCCCCATAATCATCAGCCCCAGGAGCTTCTAAAAGATGAAAAAAAGTAATTATTATTACTTGCAGTTCGAGTAGTACGTTTATTACATTATTTGACTGAAGGCACAGATATGTCATGGTTCAAGTAATTTTCATCTTTGGTAATGTAAATGTACCATTGTTTCCTTTGTCTAGGTTTTTATAAATATCTGTGTACCTCAAAGTTGCAATTCTGTCTGGATACAAGTTTCAAGTTGTCCGTTATGACGTAAAGTTAGGGTAAACATACACCGTATAATCTGGTCCATGGCTCAGTCTTTGGGCACTAAGTCTCCAGGTGTAGTTATAAAATGCAATGATTAGTCACATTGTGTTCAGTTGCTTGCTGATGGTCTAGCTACCGGTATAATGTTTAAATCTTATTTTACTTCGTTTTTGGATAAAGCAAAGCACAGTAATCAATTTATTTGCAGAAAAACAAAGGAAAATATAAATTTAAACCACGAATAAAAATTAAAGGTTGTCCTTTGAATCATGGTTGACATGCGAAATGTGTAAGCATGATAAATCATGGCCACACAGCCTTAAAGCTCTGTGCAAAATGCAAGATTTCCTTGTTATCCAAAGGCACCAGAGGCTGAAAGGCTTATTATATCTAGAACAGGGTGTTCATTAGGCATCGGAGACCAGGGAATTGTCCGTTTACAATGCTGAATTCTCTGGCGAATGTTCCATAGCTTATGACTATTTTTTACTCAGATTTGGGCCTCTTTCAAAATATTCTCCTGTAACATTACACCTTTCTCCTGCTACTAATATTCTTAATGAAAACCCTGCTAGAACATGGCATTTACCATCTTACGATTTTCAACCAATTCACCCACCTACAGCTCCTCTTAATAGTCTACCAACATCAGGGTCTCGAGCAAGATCACTGGGCGTCTGATTTTCATTGTTTCGAATACCTGTTCTTGCTCCTGCAAAGTAAACAAGGGTTAAGAAGCTGATGAAATTTTAACCACCATTTGTTCACATTGATTATGCCATACTTGTAAAAGCCTCGTAATCCTGGGGCAAATCCAGGATTTAGTGCAGAGTTCGGGTAAATGTCTGCCAAAGACAGACCAAGCTAGTGGGGTCCTGGGACATGCTCCCCCGGAAAATTTTGAAATTTACATGTAGGTCATCAGACAGACGATTTCCATAGTTTTAACGCATAATTGTAGGTTGTTTCATGCCTTTGAAACTACCTCTGTTATTAGCTATTCTAAACACATACTACTCTTAAAAATTACAACAATCGAGAACAATATTGAAAATATAACTTAACCCTCAGACGTACAAGGGAGGGGGGCGGGTGGATGCCACCCCCCACTAAGGTTTTTCTTAGAGGATAAAACATCAGCACCTGACATTTTCAGTAGCTGTCCATTCATCCCTCACGCATATTTCGAGATAAGTTTAGTGATGGTCAGTTGCTATGGTTACGAAATATGACGTCATAAGTACCAGGTGGTCAAGCCAATTTTTTGTGAAACTACATGTTTTTTCAACTTCTTCAACAGTAAAAGTAAACCTTGTGGCTAAAATCATGCAAAGTGCTTTTTATGTGTTATTTTTCATGTAAAGCACAAAAAAATAACATTTCTCGCGGTTTTAACCTGATTTCTAATTCTTGGTAAAATCCAAGATGGCAACCATTGTTGGTGACATCACAAGTCTCCAGCAGTGCCACCACCCTTAAAATATACCTCATATTGTTAAGAAGATCAAAGGCTTTCCACTAAAGGTAAAATCGTTTCGAAATACTGCAACATATCAAAAACTCCAGGGAGGGATTACATCCACCCCCCCTTGTACCAGGGTAGGGGTATGAATTTGAGTGTATGTCCGAGGGTTAAAAGACCATAAATTTGTATTGTCTATGCACTTTAAAAATTACTCAAAAATTGAATCAACAAGGCATTTAAAACCAAAAAAAGACTCTCCTCCAGCAATGTTATCACAGTATTTTTTTTAAAAGAGTTACCATGTATATTGAGGTTTGTTAGTGTTTGTCAGTACGTTCACCAAGGTTTTATGTGAGAAAAAGGTCATGTTTTAATGCTTTCATTTCAGTCTAGGGGGTTTGAACAAACCATCCAAACCACCCCTACATCTGCCCTAGTGATCCTCACAGAAATAATCATCTTCTGCTAATTTTATTTGCAAGAACAGAAAAATACAAAACTTTACCTCGCTCTAGTAGTAATTCTACAATGTCTGGATGGCTTTTCCATGAAGCAGAATGTAATGGGGTATCTCCAAGTTTATTCTACAATAAGAAACACAAAACACATACTAAATTATTACAATTTTCCAGGACATCTGTTGAAAATGACACGACTATTGATAACTGGCTTCTGCTCTCCCAGTGAATTGCAAAACATTTTCTTTCAACTCTAAAGAGACTAAATAAGATTAGTCACAGAGGAAGAAAAAATGTCAGTTGGTTCTTCATCGAATTTTCAAAAAACGCGAGGGGAAAAGTGTGAATCTGTGCCTGTTTGGTCAACCTTACCTGAACTGAAATCTGTATTCTTGGTTGTGCAAGTAAGACCTTTACACATTCTAAACACAATAAATAAAACATATTTTTTTCATAAATAAAGTACCAAAAAGATCAGTTGGTGTTCAAACCTCAGATATGTTTTGCCTATATTTTATTCACAGGTATAGATTTTTGTACACTTAAGTTGAACTAAATTAAGGGCGCTCAAAATGGTTCTCAGCTTCATGCATGTGCATGCATCTTGCAATATTGCAATCCATTTGATGAGTGATCTTCACTACAAATACTCTCTTTATTAGTATTCCTAATCTCACATGTATATGAAAATTTAAGGGACAATATTTAGGGCAATTTTCTTCTATTTAAAAATCTCCATTTAAGGAAATTAAAATTGATTTGCACCAGGATTTCTCATATTGCCAAAATAAAAAGATGATAAGTGAAGCTTTCTACCATGAGAAAAGACAATAACAGGTCATCAAAATGTACATGAAAGTAGTTGTGAAGATGTTAAGAAAACTGAGTATAAATATTTAACAATAATCTTTATTGGATGAGGCTGAGTATCATCTGAAGAATGATGGAGGGTGTTATCCAGATCTCCATAATTCTTCAGATGATATGAAAGCCAAATTCAATAATAATAAATGATTGTTTTATCATTCACTCAAAATAATTCCTAGTTTAAAAACAAGACTGTTTATTGATAAGTTTAGGAGATACAGGGTTGTTCAGTACTGCAAATATTCTCCAAATGGCAGATGTCGTCCATCAAGTTGTCTTCTCTCTGTGCCGCACAATTGATGTCATTTTTCACACATCACAATTAAACAGTTCCAAATTTGGTCAACGGTAGCTGGTTATGATGAAGTATGGGATTTTAGCCAATCACAAACAGATAAATATTTGAATGAGTAATAAATGCTCTTATGGAGAGCTGGCACCATTATCACAATAGCAGCTGTGATATCATAATTAACAATAATCCATGAGTGTGCATTGGATATGAGATGGTAGATAGCCAACGAGGCCCATAGTGCCAAGTTGGCTATAATCATCTCATATCCAACAAGCGCGAGTGGAATATTGTTTAAATAAAAATGCCCACAAAATATTGAGAATTCTTCCTGACTTTATTGGTAAAAACATCCAATTTTCACCTTTTTTTTAACTTTGAGCAGACGCGTACAGTTACCACATTTGGAGAGCATGATGTAATGACTCATATACCATGATGGCTAAGATAATCAGAGCTCTGTAATATTATTGCATTATCCAATGATTCAGTTTTTAATAATGATGCTTATCATATTCTCCAAAGATACATGACGTGCACACTGTGGCTATGTATGAATACATTTTACACTACATCAGAGTTATCTGCATTTATCACCAGCAAAATTTTCCAGAATATTTTATTGCTTATTCATGATACCTTACATCTAAAGTAGTCAGAGAAAACAGCCAATATTTTGCGAAGTTACCACTGATTTTCCCGCAAAATGATGCCTGAGGAATGCCTGCAGAAATTCCATACCAAAGACATGTCACCACCCAGATCAGCATAGTGCTTCTGATTGGTTGTGCCGTGACAGAAATTTGCTTTAACCAATCAGAAGCACTACCCAGGTCTGGATATTGACGCATTTCTGCAGTGACATCGTTGCTTGGGCATCATTTTGTGGGGAAACCAGTGGTGGCGACGCAATATCTTGGCAGTTTTCTCAGTCTATACTTAAGGCAATAACACAAAACTGACTGTCTTACCTGTATGACCTCCTTGAGCTGCCCAGTGAAGAGGGGTGGAGCCAGACTTGTCTAGACCATTGACTGACACCTGTCAAGTCATCAAATAAGGCGTAGATAATTACTGGTCTTGAAAGAGACATTTCATTCTGTTTTCTTAGAATCTCAATGTTCCTCAAGGCAGTGCAAAAGGACACTTTGAAATTTAAAGGAAACAAAGGTTTCTTGAAGGATCAGTATTAAAATTAGTTAAACATTGGAACCTCGCTACATCACCCATCTTTTCACTCAAAGGCAAAATTATTTAGCTACAATCACCTTGTCCTGCTAAAGCATATACAGTGCGGATCACTGCTTTATTTTAAATTTATTCTTCATTTTATAATTCACATCAAAGTTTGCTTGATTCTTAGGAGTAGAATGGTAAGAAATTATTATTTACCTTGTTTTGAAGACATTCATTAAGGAACCCTATGTTTCCTGTAAAGAACAAACCATAACAAAGATTTCTCTATAATTTTACTCACTGGAAAAAAAACATATACATGTACACAAAAGACAAGTTATCAAGTACTGTAAGTCCATTTACCAGGAAATGTCCATCAACCCATCCCCACCCATGAAGATAAGGGAAACCTTTCAGGGGAGGGGTTCCACAACCAAACATTTTAAAATGAAATCAAGTATAAGGTTAAATTAGAATATTGAGGAGGTGTGGAGGGGATGTTGAATCAACAAGAATTCTCCCATGGGTGGGGAGGGTAAGGATATTTTCTGAAACACTACATTACTCACTTTAATGCTATCCAGCAAAAAAACTACACTATCAAGTTACTTGCTCATCCCAAACATTCAATAGCTACCTGACTGCCTTTGAAAATCAATACATTAATCTTCCTGTACATTCTTCCATTTCCTTGAGAAATTACTTATCAGATCTATCCTCTAGAAAAAGAACTAAGACAAAACAAAAAAAAAATTGATAACATTTTCTCCTAAAAATGAAACCTTAGAACTGGTGTATTCAAAATAATCACTTTAGATATTAATTTCTTCTTACAACCTGTGCATTATTTCATCACTTAAAAGTGGCAGAAACTGCTAGCTACGATACACTATATTTACATTTTATCAAAAGCAGAAGTCCAAGAAGAACTGTTAGTGAGATTTAAATAATTATTGGCACTTTTGAGCTCTACAGATAATCACGTTTCTGGATGAATGGCAATGTTAAGTATAAGGTTACTGAAAACTTTCAGGGGTGCTTCTTTAATAGAAAAGTACCATAAATGAAGAGTTGAGTTTTCAAGCACAGGAAAAATTCTGTAGTCTCTGTTGTAACATTGAAACCTGTGGGGATCCCCCTTAGGGGCCCCTGACTGACTTACATGCGCACCCCGAAAACGGGGAACCGCGTGCGTTGTGTTTTTGACTTGCTCGGGACTCGAACATGTTAGAATAGTCTTTATAAAGTTGTTGAATTTAGCTTCATTGAATGATCTTATAACATGGTGTCAGAAGTGGGATAACAGTGGTTATCTGCCCCGCCGAACTGTGAGAAATTATTGGACGAGTTGATGGGACAAACAAGTTTCCTGTTGAGTTGTATTTTTGTCTCTTGTATAATGGCCGAGCGAGATTCTCGAATGCCAGGTCCATTGCTCCTAGACGCGAATGCTGCCGAGAACTGGAGGAAATTTTTCATGCAATTTGAGATTTACCTTGTTGCGAAAGGTAAAGATGAGAAAGCGGACAAACTCAAGGTAAATATGTTGTTACATTGTGCTGGACCAGAAGCTATCGAAGAGTACAGTCACTTTGTGTTTACCGATGAAGAAGACAAAGATTCCTATCAAGATGTCTGTCGCAAATTCGAGGAATTGTGCCAGGGTGCTAGAAATGTAATTTATGAGCGGCTGGTGTTTAATCAGCGAAACCAGAAGGAAGGTGAGAGGATTGACAATTTCGTCAGTGAACTGAAAAGACTGTCGTTAACTTGTGAATTTGGCGACCTTCGAGATTCGCTCATTCGTGATCGTATTGTGGGAGGAGTTTTGTCAGGCAATTACGAGGTGAACTGCTGAAGAAACCAGATTTAACGCTGCAAACTGCTCATGATTATTGCCGTATATTCGAGGCAGCCGAACTACAGAAATACAAGTTTAATACACCAACAGTTGCGGGTTCGAACGTTCACTTCATCCTCTCAGGAAAGTCAAGGTTCAAGAAAAGACACCCGTTCGTAACTGTAAATTTTGTGGTTACAAGCACCCATTTACTCAGCCACCTCGCTGCCAAGCTCTAGGAAAGAAATGCAACAAGTGTAAGAAGGAAGGACACTTTGCACAAGTGTGCAAGGAATTAAGTGCTGAAGGTTCACAACTTGCAGCTGTGGAACATGAGCCTCCAATGAATCACGATGTGCACACATATTTTGGATCAGTTGAGCTGGATAGTGTCTCCGCACTTTCGAAAGAAATCTAGGAGCTTGATTACTGTTAAAATTGCTGGGAAAGATGTACAGTTCAAAGCAGATACTGGTGCAGAAGCTACAGTCATTCCCTATAAGCTGTACAAGGAAATCACAAGCAAACCTCTTCAGAAAATTCAGCAACCTTTGAAGGGGTGGCTTGCCCCTAAACCCATCCATCCAAAGGGCTCTGTGAGGCTTCCAACTTGTTATGGGAGTCGTGAACTTAACCTGTTGTATCTTGTTGTTGATGGAAATTTTACACCATTGCTGGGTTGTGATGCTTGTTTAGACTTAGACGTCCTTGAGTTTATGAACCTTGAACTGATAACTACTCCAGAGTCCAAACAACCAGAGCAAGAAATGCCAAGTTTCTTCCAAACCGATCCTGTGTTGCAGGATTATAAAGATTGTTTTAGTGATAAACCTGGCAAGCTACCTAACAAAGTACATTTGGAAGTTGATCCGTCAGTTCCTCCAGTGGTACATCCTCCCAGAAAAATTCCAATTGCACTTCTTGAACCAGCACGAGAGAAGCTCACAGAGATGGAAGAAGATGGGATTATTGTTAAAGAAGAGGAACATACCCCTTGGGTTTCATCTATGCTAGTGATTGACAAACGAAAAGTGAAAGAAAACACTCCACTCTCAAAGAATGATGTTCGAATTTGTATTGACCCAAGGGACCTAAACAAAGCTCTTAAGAGACCACACTATCCAATGGTTACTGTAGAGGAGGTTGCCAACCGATTATCGGGTGCGAAGAGTTTCATGTCCCTTGATGCTTGCAGTGGATACTGGCAGCTTCCAGTGGATGATGAAAGCTCAAAGCTCTTAACATTCAATACCCCCTGGGGTCGATATCGATTTACAAGACTCCCTTTTGGCATCTCTTCTGCCCCTGAAATCTACCAAAGGGAGATGGACAAACTCTTTGAAGGGGTTCCTGTGGAGATTATAGTGGATGATTTCCTGATTCATGGTAAAGATCAAACCGATGCTGATCAGAAGTTGAGAAGAGTACTGGATAGAAGCAGAGAAGTAGGATTGAAGTTCAATCCAAAGAAAGTGAAACTTCGTGTTCCTGAAGTAAGCTATGTTGGACATGTGTTCTCGGCCGAAGGATTGAAACCTGACCCTGATAAAATCCGCGCGATCAGTGAGATGCCTCCTCCTTCTGACAAAGAAGGTGTACTTAGAATACTAGGAACTGTCAATTACCTAGACAAGTTCATTGAACACAAAGCCAATCTACAAGAGCCAATTTCACAGCTTACCCAGAAAGATGTCGCATTTGTGTGGGAGAAACCACAACAAGAGGCTTTTGATAAGCTCAAGTCTGTCATCACTAGTGCGCCGGTGTTAGCATACTTTGATAACAGCAAAGAAACGGTGCTAAGTGTTGATGCCAGTAGCACAGGCCTTGGTGCAGTGATCATGCAGGAGGGCAAACCAGTTGCCTTCAGTTCAAAGACCTTGACTCCCCCAGAGAAGATGTATGCAAATATTGAAAGAGAGCTGTTAGCAATTGTATGGGGAGCGCAAAAGTTTCACACATATGTGTATGGGCGCAGAGTTATTGTTGAGACAGACCACAAACCGCTGGAGTCAATC